TGATGGAGTTTGAATCATATACTGTCAGACTGTACATCATTAAAATAAGCCTTAGAAATCCTGGTAAACCCCTCATTATTGTCTGAGCTAACAAAGCCTGTTTTCATGCTATATTCTCTAACATCTTTAACAAGGTCTGTACAAAATAAAGACCATCTGTTTGCCCACATCTGTACTTCAACTATAAAGTCAGAACTTTAGAAAAAAACATGAAAAACTATAATATGCTGATGTACCAGGGTTGGAAGGTAATGAAGTACAAAAGTAAAAGTAGTACAATACTGCGGTTTCTATGGATATGTCATTGCTCTGTCTGGAATGTTCCAGAGTATGACATTTACCTTACATGTATTAGATTTATGAGATTTACCTTACATTTATTCAATTACAGGTGGTTTTATAGCTCAGAAATACCTTCTTTCTGACTGAGTGGGGTCGCCTCTCCACAGATCTGACCTGTAAGCTGGTCTCGTTTGGGCTCAATGAAGACAGAAAGGTATAATGCCATACTGTGAAACATTCCAGACAAAGCAATAACATCTCCATGGAGGAAAGTATTTGACGGACAAACCACCAGAAAAGTTGCACAATGCACCTTCAAGTCAATTTTCCAGTGGATACTTTTTACTTTTACTTCATTACATTTGAGAGCACATATCTGTACTTTCTGCTCCACTACATTTTAGATGTGGACTGAAAAGTAAAAAGTAGTTTTCTTTATGGTTTGAGACATGCTGAAATGGCTGATATTTTTTTGCACATTTGAGTTAACATCCAAACAAAATACACAAAAAACTGAAAATTAAGAAATCAATTTAATCTTAAAATAAGATAAATTATTTAACAAAACCATGACATTTGATGCTTTAATATTCTAAAATTTCTGTAAAATACTTATAAAGAATATTTTTAAACAGGTCCAACAATTCTTTTACTTTTGCATTGTGTAACTTTTCTTGTGGAAGGTCTGTCAAATGCTTTTCTCTGTGGAGATGTTATTGCTTTATCTGGAATGGTTCACAGTATGGCATTAAACCTTTCTATCTTCATGGAGACCAAACCAAGCCAAGGTACAGGTAAAATCTGTTAAGAGACAGTCAGAATGCCTGTCTTTCTAAGTATTTTTTCTCTATAAAACCACTTGATGATAGACTCCCAAGCAAAAAGTTACATACATAGTGCACCTTAAGTAGTTTGTTTCATGTGATACTTTTACTTGAGTAATCTTTTGCCCTTGTATCTGTCCGTTTACTTACATAATTGAGTACTTTGTCCATCATGTTGTGTACACGCTCCAACAGTGGAGAAAATGCTGTGGCTGTGTTTTGTATTCATAGAATCCAAAGAGTACAGCCGTTATCTGTGTCTTTTTGTTCCTACTCTGATGTTGTACAGAGAGTGTGTGATAACTGCTTTTGTAATGAGTTCTGTTCAGTCAGACAAAGAGGCAAACCTTGTCTCTTGCACAGAATAGGTTCACAAGACCTTTTTGACCCTACATTCACTCTGTAGTTTCTATTGTAGTACTCTCTGTTATCTAGTTCTGGCCAAATGCCAAAACGTGTCACACAGTATGGAACTATACAGTGTGTGTGGTTGGAGGAACATAGAGGAAAAACAAAACATGGAAATGGATTTTTTGCTATTTTCAGCTCCCGGTGTGTATGGAAATATAGAGGGTGGTTTTTACAGATGGGAAAAATACATAGCTTTGTTTTTCTGGTCCACAGCGAGAGGGTAGGCTGATAACCTTGACATATGGATAATCTATCAGAATGGCTGTGTCTACACAAACAGAGCATTATGGAATTGTTATTGGGTTTTGCTTGCCTGGAATCCAGAACACACACTTCTCCAATACTTTACAAAGATGTGAGTCTGGTCACTGGTGAATCCTCATTTTGAGATGTGCATGATTGACTGGTGGATTAGCCAGTAGGGGAAATTGATCGCCTACCTCAATAGAAATGCAGCTGCTTATGAGGAAAAAAGATAAGAACAAATATCACAAGAGAGCGAAAAACAGAAGATTTCTGCAGAATCAATGAGCGAAGCATTAAACATTGTTCATCTGAGGTGAGAGACTTTAGATTTTATCCTTCATTTCACATATGTCACTGAAATGGAGCGCATGGGGACCAGGCTGATAAAAGGTATAAGGCATTAAAGATCACATATTATGCTAAACTGACCTTTTATAATTGCCCCTTTGTCAAAAACATACCTGGAATTGTATTTTGTTTTATTAATCCATTAAACCAAATTAATTTTCAGCATAACGTCACACCTCTGATAGTGAGGATAGCCTTGGTCAAACAATACAAACAACTCAAATATTGTGAACTTATTTGATAAGAAACAGAGTCAAGTGTGTGGCCATTGTCTTATTCTGTGTGTGCTGTACTTGGCCTGGAGCTTTGTGTGTGTCTGTATCTGTGTCTCAAGAAGCAATGAGCATGCCCCTTAGTGGAGCTTCAGCGGAGCTTCAGTAGAGCTTCAGTGGAGCGGAGCCTTAACAGCGGTGAGGTCTGGAGACAGGGCCAAGAGGTCAGCACCTGTCTTTCCACAGCCCACAAAAAGAACACTGCAAACTACTGGCTCGCAATATGAAGGAAGTCAGATTATAAAGTGCAGGTGTTAAAAGGTGAGCGGTAACTTTCTCTGGTGGAACGTCTGCCATCTGCTTGTCTCTACAGAAGTGCTTTTGTTTTTCCTGGAATGTTCCATAGTATGTCATTCAACAAAACTGTCTTGCATTTATTTAATTACAATATGTTCAGAAAACAACACCTGCTTGTTTCCATGTTTGCCATATTTTGCAACACTCCAGGTGAAGCATTAACATCCCTGTGGAGATAAGCAGGTGGCAAACCCTCCGTCAGAAAAGTTACATGCACCTTTAACTGTGTAAATGTTCATTAAAAAAACTCACAAAACATCACTCAAACCAGTGTTCAGATATTAAATATGGCAAAACCGTTTTGGAAAAAAATTCAATCTGCAATTTATGTTCAAATTCATGTTCAAAATTTAATAAAACCAAGGGTGTAGGTTTGCATGGGGATAGTGGGGGCATGTCACAACCAATATTTGGGGAAGACAAAATAGTCCCTACCAATATTTGCCATTTTATTTGAATAAACAAAAATATAAATTTATCCCAAGTGATGTCATTAGTGGTGCCAGGATCCTAAACTAGAGAAGCAGCAGGACAGTGCCAACACCTGAAGATGGCAGCTTGAACAGGCGTGAGTGAAGATGCTGCGCAACAAACTTTGAAAAACTTTTCAAAAGGAACTTACTTGGCTTCATCTTCAATTGAACTTGCCTTATAATGAGTTGGCACGGAAAAAGAGCAACTATCTCCACAGGTGCACCTCCCAAACGGAGCCCGACTCATGTGCCGTTAGCCACAGGACTCTATTGACAATATTCCATGGAAAAATGTATGAACCTCACAAATATCACCTCACAAATATCTCATCACCAACAAGGGAAATCCGCTACAAACTTCTACATCGCTGTTATCCGCTAAAGAATTATCTTAGGCTACATTCAGACTGCAGGGCTTAATGCTCAATTCCAATTTTTTTGTGAAATCCAATGTTTTTGCGAGGTCGTTCACATTTCCAATTAAATGCGACTTGTATGTGATCTCCAGTGTGAACATTAAACGTCCCAAAAGTGTCCCGCATGCTCACTGGAGGACACGACGACGTCAACCGCAGCGAGTGTGCTCTGTGTTTACGGAAGTTGTCCAAACATGGACAGGAGCATTGAGCATCTGGCGATTTTAAAGTTCCTCTCGTACCGGAGCCAGAACATGAACAACTTACTTCTTTTAAGGAGGAAATTGAGAAGGAGAAGGACGAGGTTTTTGGTCGTGGCGTTTTGTGGGGCAGTGGCAGCAACGTCCGTAATAAAGAACGTGTGGATGCGGAGACGTAGCCAAGAGTGGTGAGTGGCGCTGTGCTTCTCTTCAGTGACACGAAGTTCATTAACAATTTTCACCTACTTCAGCCCAGAATAGTGATGTTTGTTGCTTGTTGATAACGTGTAGGTCGGATGAATGCGCTTTGGCCGTTCAGACTGAAGTCACATGTCAAAAGATCGGATATGTATCGGCTTTAGGACCACATATCGAAGTGGTCTGGGTCGCATTTGAAAAAACCTGATCCGTGTCTTTCAGCCTGTCATAAAAAAAATCAGATAGAGGTCACATAGAGTAGCCTTAGAAGGGCAACGGACACAAACTGTACATTTTGCAAACTGAAAAATGATATCACCTCTCACTTATTTTGGACCTGGCCAGACTCTGAATTCATAAAACATAAACCAAAGCTGAGACCAAAACCTACGCCCTTGAATAAAACCACAAGAATCCAGAAGAATCCAGAACAAAGAAAGACATACTTAAATTAGCCAGGACCATGAATGCTTGTATTGATCAAGGCTCCTGAACATTTGTTGTTTAAATCCATTTTGTATTTTTTTTCTTGAGGTTCAGACTTTTAAAACTTTCTTGTAGATTGTGTCACCGTGGAAACTTCTGAACATTCTTAAACTGCTATAGAGTAATTCTCTCCAACAGCAATAATAATTTTCAAAGCTGCCATGTATCTGTCAATAAACTTCACCATCTACCTCCGCATCCCATTATCGTTAGAGTTGTGGAACCTAATAAAAAATTTGGTTGAATGATGCTATGACCCGACCTAGCCTCCACTTCTCGTCACCAACAAAACACATTACACCATTTAAACCAACTGAGTTTAAGCAGTGAGTGCATTAAGCTTGTGTTGTTCTCCACACAGCAGCGCCTATCAATAAATATGGAATGAGAAACGCAAAAGCCAGACTCTGAATAACACCGTTTCTCAATTCTCAAGACTAAACAAATTATTTATGGACACAATTTGCATGGGAACTATTCAATATGTAGCAGTTTGAAATGGGAGGAGTGGGAAGTTGGGAGACGAAGAGTTATGGGGAGGACTTACGACAGAGTTCTTTGCACACGTCCTCCTGTTGAACCGATGATTTCTCCAAGGGTGCAGAAGGTCTGACCCAGAAAGTCCTGCAGGAGAGAAGAAGATAGTGAAGGAAGATTTAATTGCGAGACGAGGTCAGACATGGCAAGGGCACAGGGACGCGTTGGTTAAATACAGAGTCTCATGGAGCAGTTGTAATGTGATGAAGTGATGAAATAATGACGGTTTAGGCATAGCAGGGGTGGATGGGTACAGTGAGCTGCAGCGTGGTGGAGGGGAGGTGTGGAGCTCTGAAATGTAAATGTTGGTTGGCTACTGTGACCTCTTCAGCCCACGTTGTTTGTGTAAGCATTTTTACAGACTATGTTAAAGGTGCACTGTGTAACTTTTTGCAGGGGTATATGCCACAAGCTTGATTTCATTTCATTGCTTTGCTTGGTATATGGAATCATGTGGACCAGGTCATGTCTGTGGAGAGGCAAAATTGCTCACATTAAGGCGATAAAGACACATACAAGAGACAGAATTCGCACATCAGTTACTTGAGACGGGTGCGTTGGAGGAGAGGGAGCAGCCCTAGAACACGGAGAAAAATCTCGAACACCGTCTTAATTGCAAAATGTAAGATTTATTAGGACAAACAGTGCAACGTTTCAGCACATGTTATAGCTTTGTCATCAGGTAAACAGCTGAAGACCTGATGAAGGCCTAGTGCTGAATCGTTGCACTGTTTGTCCTAATAAATCTTACATTTTGCAAGTAAGACGGTGTGCTGGATTTTTCTCTATGTAGTGATAAAAACACATGGAATTGAATTAATGAAACGTGGATATGCGCAAGATCATTGACCACAGAAGTTACCTAGTGCTCCTTTAAAACATAACAAAAATATGCAAAAACAAGTAGCACAACTGACTTGCCTACAGTATATTACACAAAATTGACTCTTGTGAGCTTTAATTCATGTTAAAATGTTCGCTACTTCCTCAAAAAAAAACATACCTGTAGCTGAGTTTTGTTTCATTCACACACGTCTGAGTAAATCGATTATTAGTCTTACATCTTCAAAGCTCAAAATGCCCTGTTGCACCGTGTGATGTCATGAAGAGGTATACAATGCCAATTCTACTGACTAAATTTCATCCAAATGATTCTAGTGAAGGTGTATATAGTTTAAAAACACACAGGAGCACTTCCTGTATTACCACATGACATCACAAGGTGGAACAGAGTGTTTTCTGTTTGAGAGAAGAACTCAGCCTAGTTGTGTGAATGAAACAAAACACAACTCCAGGTATGTTTGTGATGAGGAAACAGTATTACAAACAGAAAACAGCATAACATGGGCCCTTTAATTATCTAACATGGATAGTTGCAAGGTCATCCACCAGAAAAGTTACATATTGTCCCTTTAAAACATGACAAAAATATGCAAAAACTATAGTACACTTTAAAAATGTCTCGCATCAGAACATTACCAGAACTTTACCAACTACAGTTTGATTTTCATTTCCACAGACAGGGAGATATAAGGAGACATAATATTCCTTAATGTTTTTCAGATGCTCCAGATAAGATACATCAGATATTTTTCCATCAGTTATTTATTTTAACTTAATGGTCTTGGTTGAGATGCAAGTATCACACACAAAGTGAATGGGCTGTAAAGTAATTCATTTCAAGTTTCATTTCATTTCATATACTCCTGCAGTTTTAAAAGCAGCAGACCTATTCTTCAAAATAGACTTTTCAGAGCTTTTAAAAATGTTATAGTTGTTTCCTCTCACCATTTACACTCTCCAAGTTGTATTTGGAGTGATTCGTGCTTGTTTGAGTAATCCTTGATCGCTATTTTCAAGACGCCATATTGCCGTTTAATCCTTGTTTTCACCGGCATATCGCCCACTGCTATGTACTAACTTTCTCCAAATTTATTTTCGTAATCTGTGATACACATAGGATTTGGATGCTTTCCGTAGCCATTTTGGTACAAATGAAAAAAATTTAAAAATAAATCTGCTGCTTGCTTGTGTATAGGTCTTTTTAAAATAGTTTTCTTATATTATATGATCAGTGTTGGGAGTAATGTGTTATAAAAGTAACGAACGAAAGGACCGGTTCAGAGCTTCGCGCCACATGGGGCTAAAAACACAGTTGATGCCTGATCGCGCTTTACGGACACTCTGCTCCAAGGGCTCGGGGTTCTCTCAGGGGAGGTCCTAGATTCCAAGTCCTAGTCCAAGATTAGTCTTACTTTGGTCCTGGTTTAGACCTGGATTAGACCTGGTTTAGACGTGATTCAGTCCTGGTTCAGTCCTGGTTCAGCTCTGGTTTAGATCTGGTTCAGTCCTGGTTCAGCTCTGGTTTAGTCCTGGTTCAGACCTGGATTAGACCTGGTTTAGACCTGGTTTAGACCTGGTTCAGTCCTGGTTTAGTCCTGGTTTAGGCCTGTTTAGACCTGGTTTAGACCTGGTTTAGACCTGGTTCAGTCCTGGTTTAGATCTGATTTAGACCTGGTTCAGTCCTGGTTCAGTCCTGGTTCAGCTCTGGTTTAGTCCTAGTTTAGATCTGGTTCAGCTCTGGTTTAGTCCTAGTTTAGATCTGGTTCAGTGCTGGTTTAGCTCTGGTTCAGTCCCGGTTCAGTCCTGGTTCAGTCCTGGTTCAGTCCTGGTTCAGTCCTGGTTTAGATCTGATTTAGACCTGGTTCAGTCCTGGTTCAGTCCTGGTTCAGCTCTGGTTTAGTCCTAGTTTAGATCTGGTTCAGTCCTGGTTTAGCTCTGGTTCAGTCCCAGTTCAGTCCTGGTTCAGACCTGGTTTAGACCTGGTTTAGTCCTGGTTTAGACCTGGTTTAGTCCTGGTTTAGTCCTGGTTTAGTCCTGGTTTAGTCCTGGTTTAGTTTAGACCTGGTTTAGACCTGGTTTAGTCCTGGTTTAGTCCTGGTTCAATCCTCCTGGTTCAGTCCATATAGGGCGCAAAAGTTTGACAAATAACAATCAGCGAGTGAAGATGCCAATCAGCAACACTTATTTTGGTGGGAGTAACTTAAAAGTGCGGTCAATAGTCGTGTAATGTCTTACATTTTAAACACAGTAATGTTGTAATGTAACAAATTACTTTGAAATTACAGTAACAAGTAATGAATAACAGTTGAATTACAGTTTTGAAGTAACTTGCCCAACAGTGTATATGATCACCTACTGCATCATTACCCCAAATCATCATAAATCTATCTTTACTTTGAATAATTTCCATTTATTGGATATTTTGTGCTCCTTTTGTATCTGTAATTTCACTTTGGGAGAACAGCGCCCCTTCCTTTGTCAATACTTGATTTGTACCTGCCAATCAAACCAAGCTTCAGCCAATCAGGCGCAATCCAATAACGATTACTGTCTCCTTTGATCACATGGGCGGAGCTTATGGTATAAAGATAGTAGACTATATCGATCAGTCAGACAATCATTACTGCTACTGTTGCAGGCTACTCTTTCTCTTATAAAGTGATTTAAGTGTCCCCAGTCATTCACACATGTCCAAAATATTGACATAGATTTGAGCCGCTCGCACTGTGGCATATTCCCCCATCTTGAAATCTGTCAGGACACATAATCAGAAGCTTGTTTGATTGCATTTACCGCAGGCTTGGACATGCACGACTGCGTGCCAATAATGACTTGTTACCAGGCCAAATTGATCCTTTTCCAACAATGCTCCAGTTCTGACAGAAATTGTATGCTTGTGTCGTAAAATTACTTAAAACATAACCAGTGGTCCAGATTATGCACAGAATGAAAGGATCTATATTATGTTTTCTGAAAATGTGCCCAGAGTTGTGTTTTGTTTCATTCACATATTTAACACAAAATCCCTGCCTAATTAAGGCTGTATTCGTCTTTGAAACTGAAAACATTGAAAATACAGCAGGTCCACCGTGTTCTTAAATTCTGACAATTTCAGATTTGGAATTGCTGCTACTGAACAAAACGTAAAAGGCAGTTTATGTTACTGTGTTCTTTTTTCAGTAAAAGTTACCCGTTTACTTGAAAACTACTATCATTCAGCTCTTCTTATTTCTGAACATACAAACAACCTGGAGAAAAATATAGAACTGCAGGATCTAATAAACATGAGAATGAAACAAAATTATCTTACAATTTTTCCATGAAGTAACTACATCACAAGTTATTAGTGAAAATGCACTATGTAACTTTTTAGTTTGAGTTTTATTATTTTCTTTCTATGCCCTTGGATAATACAGCACATTAATTCACACATTATGAAACTTAATATGGCATTTTAATGTTTGTAACTGTCCTTGAGGAGCACTTGATTTTTATGTTTTTTTTTTACTAGAAAAAGAACCACTGATATATTCCGATCTCAAGTCTTATTATTGCTTTACCTGGAATGTTCCACAGTATAGCAACTGATGTATCGCACATATTGAATTTTTCTTGCAAAAAATAGACATGGAAATACAAGCATTGTTCCTGTGAGCAGATGCCACCTCTCCACAGATCTGTCTTGCAACATGGCCTAGTGATACCACCTGGTTGTCTTCATTGAGAGTTAAAGTTACAGGTCCTATACTATGCAAAATTGAGTCTTGTGAGCTTTAAACTGTGTTAGAATATTGTTACCTCCTCAAAAGCATATCTGGAGTTGTGTTTTGTTTCATTTCCACATATTTGACACCTTGACATGAAGACAGTGGCGGAGTCAGGAATTTGGGGGGCCCAGGAGAACTTGAGTTTGGGGCCCTCATTATAATGTGTCATTGTTTTGTTTACATTTACATGTATTTTTGTTTTGTTTTCTGCAACTCAGGTTTTAGTTGAGAGCAATTCCAAGTTTTAGCACCACCCAAATGCCTAATGGTGCATGGATTGCTGAATGCAAGTTGGAAACAGTGTGAAAGAGTGTTTTTAGTTTTTAAAATGTGTCAAACATGCGTGAATGAAACAAAACACAACTCCAGGTTTGTTTGTGATGAGGAAACAACATTATAACATACAGTAGATCAGAAAATAGCGTAATATGAGTCTTTTAAATGCCATGTGGAACATTCCTGACACACTTACAACAC